CAAACTACCATTGTCATAGCATCTGAAAAGCAATTCAGAATAACACCAAAATATTCTGTTGAACTTCGACACAAACATATATATAGGTTATATGCATATGTACACACATTTTATCGCAAATTTAATTCATGGAAAGTGGTGAATACAGTGAGAGGATAGAGTTTGGACAAGGCAGATGTGCAGACGTTAAGGACCACACAGTGTGTCATGGATGATCTCACCTACATAGAGCGTGCTGTAGCCTATATATTACTATCCACAGGGGAACCTGACAAAAGTATCTACAGCATAGACATTTGACTTATTGATGGAAATATTGAGAATACAGGGCCACCCAAAACAGAATATTATGCAGAAAGAAGTGTATTTGCTGATCCTGGGGTTTAGTACAAATTGACTATTTGTATATGTTATGCATCCTAAAGACCACTAGGGGAGCAGCATTTTAATTTGTCCACCTCAGCACAGCTATTGATGTATGAAAAGTCCAGAGATAATATATAAAAATGTTATTACAATTCCCTTTAGTTAAGGTTACAGTAAGAATTAACAGTTAACTAACATTAGCTAACTCATAGCTTCTTGCTAACTTAGCTAACTCATAGTCAAGGCTGTAAATCATACATCACAGGAATGTTTCCACAAGTTATTCACAGGAGGAATGCAACATATTTTCTATCTAGAGAGGATAGTAATATGCAAGCAAACAAGATTGAAGTGTAGTGTTACTATATAGAAAAAAACATTTAACGTATCTCAAATTGCCAAAGATGGTCAATTAGCCAAATAACTTTCTTGCTCATCTTGACAAATAACCAAAACTGTGTCAGCTATCACTTCCAGCTGCCATCTTCACTCGGTTAAACAAACATCTTTAAAACACTGGTAGGTGCTGTCAAAGGTCAAGTGGGATATTTGAAATTTTGGGCTTTTTATTTTGGAATAAAATAATAATAGGTGACTCAAATGGTATCACCAGTGCAAAAACTCAACACAGTGATTAAGAGCACAAACTGGGGCTAACCATATATTAGAAAAGCACTGTGTTTATCTGGATGCAGTGTGATGCTTCAAGTGCACATACTCTGAAAATCACTGGGGGAGAAATCTCTAAAAGGGCAATTGCTGGCATTATGTCTTGGAATATTTTTCGAGTCATATCGGGAAGGCGGCAAACATGTAAATGTAATGTCTTGGGGTCAGAAACAGCATGACCATCTGTTGTTTGCCACATCCCCCTGTCTCCCTTATTATCCGACTTTTAACCAAAGTGTGAACTGTCTAAAGCGCGGATGCCATGAAAATAATATTTCAAAGGGCAATTCTCTAGAGAAGTCTAGAGGCATAATATTACATCGTTAAGGAGAGAGAATTTCTGAAAATCTGTTCATAAAAACACACTTCTAAGGTGTTTTAAATGAAAGAATTCATTTCTGATCTCTGCCATCTGGTTTTGTTCATTGTTTGTGTCCCAGCAAACAAATCAAGAACCTTATATCCTTATGTGTGAATGTTGGATGCTGATTGCATTATTTGTTAATGCAAAAATGTGTTTTTTAGAATTAGAATTAATCTAATATTAATTTTTGTTATAAAAGGTGAAAGAATACTTTAAAACGTCCAAACAAAGTATTAGAGGTCAGTTGTAGTTAGTCTAACAACACCTAAATTGGGAACCTGTTGACATTTGGGCTCCAACTCAGTGGCAGCGAATAGAATTTAATTTTAGCAGTTCACACCATTAAAAAAAAGCAACGTGTCTTTTCAAAACTATGTCCTGGTTACTGTCCTGGATAATCCACAGACCTCACTGAACAGTTTTCATTGGAACATTTTTTTATTCAAAATACCCTGAAAACATTTGACAGCATGTGATTAAGTGATGTTTTGAGGATAGTATAAGCAGACCAAATTCAAGCTAACAAATGATAGAATTTCACAGTTTTTCATACAGGTTTGGCACACAACACCCACACAGTCTGTCTTTGCCTAGGTGAATGTAGTGACAAAGCAACAAAATGGCGTTTCACAGCACAGTGAGTACAGGACAAAGATATATAAAATGATTTCTCTCATTCCCATGTTTTGTCAGGCCATTGATGAACTACGGTCATTCATTGGTGATTTATATGCAACTATATAGCCGGAAATGATATGCAATCCTTATCTTCATCTGTACTCATTGGAAAAACAATCATTTTGAAATTGAGTCTTATTTAACATTTACATTACATTACGATTTAATTCTTGTATACATACTTTGACAGAATATTTCTCAAACTACAATTATCTCCAGGGTACTTGAGAGCCTCCTGTCAGCTTTGGGGACCTTGGAGTTTGTAAGATGTCACTCCAGTTAGGTGTGCTTGGAACATTTACCTTGATTTGTCAGACAGATTTGTCACCTGTTTTGTGCCGAAACACACTTTATCTATTTAGTGACAGCAAAGGCTCACAAGTTTGGGTGAATAAGGTGTTGAGGTGACTAAATGTGATGCCAGGCTGTAGATGATGCATCCCTGAATACCATATATTTGTAAAAGCTAGTATTTAGTTAGTATCTCTAGATTATATTACCTTCTTGCTTTTATTAAGTTGCACCGTTGGATTGAAGCTCAGCTCTTTTCATCATTCTGTGTCGGTGACAGATGCACTTTAAGCTGCAGTTTGTAGTATCTGAACACTATTCGATTTTGGAAACGAGAAGGCAGGAATTTGTCTGATGGTTAAAAACATGAAAAACACAGACCTTAAATGCACACTAATGTAACTGCTTTTAAGGGCATATGTGAAGTTGCTGTTAAATGGTACACGACGTAGCCTGCTGGGCCACCTAGCCAACATACCATTTTCATTATTTCACCATGGCCCCAATCTTGCCCTAACCTTAAAGGGTCTGTTCACTCAAATGAAAAAAAAGAAGTATTTTTCTTTGTAGGTGCTAAGCCATTCAGAGTTTCTTTTTTATTTGCAAGGGTTTGGAGTTATCCACAGCGGAGACTTCTGCTTCCACCCCAATACAATAGAGGTGAAGAAAACCGGGACATTGTTTCTTTACAGAATTAACCATCCACAGACGTCACAGTGAACCATTTCTAGTATTTTGTATAGAACAAATAGATTCCATCTTAAGAAGAAGCTGGAATTCCCTCCGTGCAGGTCAGGTTAAAGACATACTTTATTCGATGTAAAATAATCTAATTGCAGATGGACAGGGTGTCCTTTTATGTTGAATGGAAAAAACTATCCCTCTAAATGCTTGTGCACAACCTTGTTATTAATCCATTGTTAGTCAAAAAAGACACCCCTGAACTGCTAAACAAAAGCCCGTACTGTGGGTATGAATATACCAGACCTTTTAAAATGAAATGACTGAATTCCAGTAAGAGCAAAATCCAGTGAAGATAGTCATTTCCTTATGTGGGCTGTAAGAAAGTCAGTAATTAATCAGCTGCTACTGATTAAAAAAATTCACTCTTCACTAAGAACAAAAACAAAGAGTTACAGAAAGACTGAAGAATAATGCCACTACTCAAAAGTACCAATAGTTATGTTTGCATAATGTCCAACAAAGAAACATAGCCATCTGCTTCATTTTATCTTAAAACCGTTTACTCTTTGTTTCCTTGTTTCTTTCATCACACTACAGAAAAGTATGTCTCTGTGTGTGTGTCCCTGTGGTGAAGGGGAGGGTGCACTGAAATCATCTGTCTAAACAGTTATGTGTGTGGAGGCTGAACACCTGTTTCTGCGTTTCTGTCTTGAACTGTTGGTGTGCTGTTTCAACAAAAGTACCTGCGCTTTAACCTTCAGCTTTAATACAACGACATGGATAGAAACTCTGTCCAGACACATTTTCGGCATGATCAGTGGACCCTCAGTGGGTTTTGAGTAATGGATGAATGAACAGCACACTGCAGTGGTGAAACTGAACTATGTACATTTACTCCAGTACTCTGTTTAAAAGCAAATGTGAGGTATCTGTGCTTTATTTGATCGTTTTCTTCTCATGCTTACTTTTACTTCACAACACCTCATAGGGAAATAATGTACTTTCAAATCATTATTTGACAACTTTAGTTCCTAGTTAGTTTTTTTTAACACAAAACATATGAAAATGCATAAGTACAGATTCATAATCCTAAAACTAGTCGCAGCCCCATATAAAATAGTTTAAAATGAGCTCCACCTGAACCAACTACAGTAAAATCCTGCTTCTATATTAATGCAAGCATAATAATCTAATTATATAATAGAAAAACAGTACTTATTTTATTACTTTAAGTACACTTTTCCTGATTATACTTACATAATGTTACTCAGGTAACATTTTGCAGGACTTTGTATTTCTGCAGTGTGTATTAGTACCTTTTTATTAAGTAAATGACCACATACCTCCTCCACTACTGCTACACTAATATTAATAGATTAAACCTGCATTGAGAGCCCAGTCACCACAGAGTGGGCTATAGTGAATGTTAAATGGCATTTGTGTCTTCTGACTCAAATAGTGCTTGGAGTACGTTTCTGTAGCCTTTACAGCTGAGAGCTGCCTTTATTATGTGGGATCATCTATAGACTACTCTGCTCATAATACATGTCTTAATGTCTATTCTGCCGGGTATTATGTGATGTATGACAGCTTGGACTGCTTTTTTTCTTTCTGACTCGTATCAAGATGAATTATGTGTTAACACTTATTGTATTACTCCAATATTTACTTTTAAGCATGACTTTCTGCTAATAACACACATGGAGCCACCTTAAAGGAAGGGTAAATCCATACGAATTAGGCCTTGTGTTCAGTAAATTTTGATAAGATGATAATACATCAAACGGCTTTTTAATTCCCGCACCTGGCTCAGTTAAAGGGAGTTTGTTTGAGCTCCCGTTGGGCATTTATTTCCCCCTAATGGGAAAGCTTTCGATGTGTGTTGCTCTTGTTTGCTGAAGTCTCTGTCAGTGCCTTTCAGTAATAAAGACAGAGTGGGAGGGCCACTCGGTGCAACTAATAAGGACCGCGATCTAGCAGGCGATCCCACTGTGACTTTTATTTCCAAGTCCTGGAATCCGGAATCAAGACTGATCGTTATCACACATGGATTATGCTTCTTTTTTCGCTGTTTTTTATTTCTTTTTGCGTTAGAGGAAACTTTCCCAGCAGCTGTAAGTACTTAAAGACAACATTTGATTCACAGTTAATTTAAAAAATAGAATAAAATCGGCTTAATGTAAATACCAGCGTGTGGATATATTGAAAAGCTCTTTATAACGGACACATTTTGCAGTGTTTTATGTCCCAGACATGGTTTGATCTTTCTTAACTTGTCTGTTAACCGGGGCGCATGCCTTATGAACAGGTTATTTCTGATTTATGAACGCTCTGCAGCAGTAAACATCCACCGTATTGCATCACTTGTTAACAGCAAAGTGCGAAATGTGCCGGACACCGAAAGAATATCAACCGCTTCGTCCCGTAATTATCAAAAAATAAAGCCACCCAGCCAATCAGCGGTCGCGCACAGAAACACGCTTCTTTGAATATTTCAAAGTGTTACAGTGAAGTTATTGCCAGTGAATGAATGATGACGGGACCTGACAGAGAAACTTCACTGTCAAGGGGGGTTTTTAGCGTTGTGCCTTTTTCTCCAAAACTGTGAGATATGTGTGTGATGATAACATACAGAAATATATAGACAGTCAATTTAGGATGGAAATCCACAGCAGATGGTGCAGCAGCGTTGCTGTACACCAGAACTACATGAGGTAAAACAACGTGTGGTTTTTAACTCCTACAGACTCCTCAATAATCAGAATCAGTCATGTAAAGATACAGACTAACTGACTGCAGGGTTTAGGAGCATGTGTTGCATGCATTTTGCAGAAATGGATGGAATAACATTACGCCTTCTTCACACAGACAGGGAATGTGATACCTCTGTAGTGCTTCTTGTCTACGGCCCATGCATGGTTGTAGTTGTAAGTGGCATGGTCACTTCATCTCCAAGCGCCATGATAGCGTACTGTAGGCCTGCATGCAAAACTTTATGATCCAATGGGAGAGGAAGGCACAAAGTGTATGGGGATTAATCACTGGGGGGAAAATTAATTTGGATAAGACAGCAGCAGTTTAAGAAGGAGAGTATCATGAAAAAATACTATTGGTCACAGTTTGTGAGACTGTGCATATAAATTAACTTAATGTGTTGTGGGTGTATGATGGTCCCTGGAGGTCAAGTTCATTACTCAGCCGTTTCTTCACCAGTAAAAATAGATAAATGTGCAGGAGGAAGGAAGGATTATAGCCTTTGTAACTGGATTACAGCTGTGTTGTCACAACACTACATTGCAGATACTGGAAAAAGGCATGTTTGTCATTGTGAGTTATGATTTGCCACTTCATTTTTTTGTAGGATTAACAAACAAATCTGACCTGTGTTGTTGTTTTAAGAAAAATTTTACTAAACCAAATTGATTTTGCATTTATTTATTCAGTGTCACACATTAACCTGTTTGTGTGCTTCTATTGAGTTTCGTCTTCCTTTTAAAAACAGCCCTTTTTTTCTGAGTGCAGTCATCATCAGTATTCTGGCACAGCACCAACTCTGCGGATAAAAAAGTAATCCAAAAGTTAGTGTTTTGTTTGAGTTGGAATAGTCAGTGAAAATTAATTACAGACTTTACTTTGGAACAGACTCGTACTATCCAGGATTCCTCTACCCTAAAAAAAATTCTCGCCGTCTTTGCACTGGTATGAGAGTAATGTAGAAGATTTGGTTTGGCACCAAAGTCAAATGGTTCAAGAGACTTGTAACTGGAGGATTCCAGGTCTGATCCTTGTATGTGGCGTTCTTGACCAAGACACCGCTGACAGCTTACAGATCAAAACACACCAGAGTGTTAATAGAGTAGTACCGAAACAAAGATCAAGGCTTTGGCATTAAGCAGACAAGCTAGTACGGGAGGAGCCAATTTTAAAAGTATTTTACCTCTCATACAAGTACTCTGTGACACACAGTGTAAACTTATTTTGGATTATTCATTTTGGGAGGAGAGTACAGCAGACTTAACACCTGGTGATGGGATGATCACATTGCAGAGAGGGTAAAATAACAATGAAGACAGATTAACCTTGCTAACTTGTATCTCTTTTAACATGCAACATCCTGCATTTAGATCAACGTCAGACACAGTAATACCTCCCTGTTGTGTTGTCATTATCTTGTTGTAGACTGTATTCTGAACAGATTAAGTGGGTCGGCACAGTTCCACTGCTAATTTCTGCTGATGACATACAGACATAATGAATTACAAACTGTCTATGGAGAACAAGAGGCAGCTTGGCTCACTAGTTAACAACTGAAACCTTAACATAAACATGGCTTAGAGTATAATGATTTAGCAGCGGTATAGACATCTTCATTCATCACTGCATGGCAGGTGTTCATGAAAACTAATGAATGAAGGACTCAGAAGTGCTTTCTCCTGGTTGAAGGACTTTACATAAATACACAAAGAGGGTTGAGGGACATATGAGTGAGCATGAGAGTAGGCATAAGGGAGAGTCAGATATGATTTACAGTTCAAATTTAATTTCACAATAATACAACTTGCACATAATCTTATTTAGTGGCTGATTAAAACCATGAAAAGACGTGGTTTGATAGAACGTTGAAATATGATTGCAGCCAGATGCAAAGGAGTGAAACCTTTTCTCTGTCTCGGTTTGCTTAGCGAGCACACGTCAGCATTGTTTGCTTGTGCCTGATGTAAAGTTATGTCTGTTAGTTCTGCTTCTGTTAGCACTTGCATGCAGAAAAGTATTTAATTAAGATTAGTGTAAGGCATGTGTTTCATTCTTTATTTCATTTAACAAAATGCTATGATTAACCTTAATTGTAAATTACAAACTGTTCTGTTTACATCCAGATTTTCAGAGGACTGCTCTCTAGTGTCAGAGCCATGATTAGCTTGTTAAGATGGACAGCTTTCCTTTGGACTGTAAATTCCATTCCTTGCACTTTTGGGATGGCAGTGAGTGAACAAACAGGTACGTGTGTTTGTTGTCCTCAACCTTTTCTCCAACAACTGATGTCTTTCAACAGCAGAGTGACATTTTTTCTCTTAAATGTTCTGGTCTCAACATAAAATGGATAAGTTTTATCTGTAAGATGAATTATGTCTCATTGTGGAGGTAAAGAACAGATAGACGTGCACATACGGAAGAAAGAAAGACAGGTGTGCCCAAATCCACATACACATTAAAAAACTCTGTTAAGCTAACTTTTTTAACCCTTCACAGGTTTATGATTTACAACAAATACTTTGAATATTTTACAAAACATTTATGGTCCATGATTTGTTCACAGTGGTAACTCACCATTTGTGATTCCATTATCTGGGGAATCGACTTTATCAATCAACTTCATGTTTGAAAAAAACAGAGAGTGGGACTTGTAAAAAAATACGGCGGGGCTATCAGTATTCATAAAGTCAGTCTCCATTTAATTTTCAGTAAAGCAGACTGAGCCTTGCCTCTAAATTACATCTCAGAGTCTTGTCTCCATCTGCAATTTTTTTTTTTAAGTTTAAAAGTTTAAAAGATTAATAGAAAAAAACTGTGAATTGATTTTTGTGGATTTCTCTGAAAGAAGTGTTGTTTTTAAAATGAAAGGGAATGCACTATGGAAATGAATTTACAACTCAATTTATCATTTGCTTTTCTGTAATCCTAGACGAAAATAGTTTAAAATATAAATTGACTTCTGTAACCAGCACACTAAACCTCTTTGTGATTTTCCTCTAGATGGCTCATGTCCCCCTCTGACTGTAGAGGAATACAGGTTCTCTGATATTTTAGATCGTCCCCTGGAAATTACAGGTATGTTATGAATGAACACAATTACTTTGTAAATAACAACATTGTCTTGTTTAAATCTAGTGACACTGATCCCATTCACAGGATTGGATCTCACAGAAAAGTTTCTCCTCCGAAAGGGAACGGTAACAGAAGACCTTCCGTCGTTTCGTTTAGGAAGCAGTCCGCTCATTAAGCCGACAAAGTGAGTAACGTAGTTGTGTGTTAGCTTGCATGTGTGTTTATTTCCTGCATTGTTTGGGTTCAGCTGTTGTACTCTGGGTCCTTGTGACATTTGAGGATAACTCAGACAGACAGTCTGCATCTCAGCCGTGACCCAGTAAATAATCTCCCTATATATGCTGCTTCATTTCTACAACTCTGCTTGCTTGTGCTATGGAACTGTAGCACAATGCAAGCTTGCTGTAAGATGCAGTCGCTCATGTGTGGCCAAGGCTATCAACAGTATTAAACTGCAGTGTTCATTTGGATTAACACAGAGGCTATTACTACTTCGCTCCCTCGTGTACAGGTCCTGAATATGGAGTTAATTTTTTACAACTCAAATATTGCACACTGCATGATACTGTAAAAACAGCTAAAATATTGCTGCTATTATAGGTCTGTCTTGTGCAGAGAAGCTTGCTTTCCTTCACATCTATTCTAAGAAAAAAAAACTGTGTAGCCATAGCTGCATTTCATGAAAGGGTTGACTTGAGGCAACCCAGATATACCCTGCTCAGAGCAATAGTTCCATTTGCCTTGGCTAATAAGGGCAAGCTGTGAGGTGAGCTGTTAGACAGGGAATAATTTGAACAGAATTAATATATATTGCATTTATTCTAGAAATCTCCTAAGGGCAAAAAGTGGGACATAAAGGAAGGGAAAAAAAGTCTGAGCACGTATAATAAGACAGGAATATTAAAATAGCTACATAAATGACACACTAAGGTGCCATTTACTGAAGACCTTTATTCCCCTGGTCAACCGGCGGGACCGCTCTGTGACTTCACCTTGATGCTGATATGATAGTGGGGATTTGAATTTGATATATTATTTATAAATGCCTGTTGCGCTTTCAAATGAATCAAGAAAGACCAGTGGCACACATGAACCTGCTGCTATGGTTGCCAAACTTAGCTTTACAATGAAGGTTTGGATTTTAAAAAATGTATTTTGAGATGTTCATTGCTTTGTGTCCTCAGGTTATAACAGTGAAAGACAACACTTTGTCATTCTTTCGGGAGGGGAGGATATTTTTAGCATTTTTACATGACATGAAACTGTAAACATTTACTGCCACTCTCTCTCTGGCTAGGTGCGAGGATCTTTGAGCCAGGTGATTTGTGATCTCCCTCCCTGTTCTGTCAGCCAGCTGAAAATACATTTACCTCAGCCCTTCCCTCAGTCTGGGCCCATAGTGCAAGAAGATGCTGGCTCTCAATGACACTGCTGACAGTGTCATTGGTTATAGTGGCGAGACCGCGATCCCTCTCATATCCAATTATCTAAGTACTTTGACAGGTGATACTGCATGTCAGCTGAGGAGGGAAAGCTAGGGCAATTGCACGAACCAGGAGGCCCCTCTACCCCTGCCACAGCCACTAAAACATTGCTCACTTTACTCGCAGGGTATGCAGCAATAGATGCTCGACTCTCTAGATCTGGCTAATGTTCTGCCAGCTCCTCTGCACAATGCACATTATGGTACATAAATTGGAGCTGACACACTCAAGGAACATTTGCGTGAGGTGACAAATTGCCCTACAAAATGCAACGTGTAGTCATAACACAGTGTTGTAGTTGCTGTCTGTCTTTAGATGCATATCTGTGTTTGGCTTTTACATCTTATATCACCATCTGTCTCATATTTATATCTCATTCATATAATAAGAGCATTAGAATCTACACTACACATTTGAATTCTTCAACTGTTTAGCAAAAGAAGATCAATAAGTGGTTTCATTTCATTACTTGCTATTTGAAATAAAGGCATGGTTTTTACATTACAATCCTCGTTTTGCAAAACAAAACATACACAAGTATAAAGTTAGAAAAATAACTATAACAGTACCGAGAACGTGTGAGCATCCACACCAATGAAAGATTGTGTTGTGTAAACAGCGGCCACATCATGCTGTGTGCTCCAGCTGTGTTGGCAGCTTCGGAAAATGTATATTGATGACCTGTTAGCTGTACGTTGTGCAGAGGCACAAAGAGAAAACCAGAGGGATAGGGGTTCACAGAGTTCTTCAAAGTTGAGGAAGTGGAGTTAGGAGAAATTATATTCATACTTTGGTTTAAAAAAAAAAGGAAAAGAGGACATCATTAAGGGCTCCAGAGACCCCATCAGTGCTAAAGAGCATTTGGCAGTATGTCTCAGGTAAAATAAAGTTTTATGTGTAATTTGCTGCCTAACATTATTTTATATAAGAGTTTAATGAGTTGTATACCATAATATCATTCATCAATCATCATCGCTGTCAGCTTGAGTTAGAACAGTTTTTAAAAAGATATAGTTATTGTTCTTGGCGTGGATGGCCCTTTATTCATATTTAGACCTATTTGTGCATTTTGTTAGCTGTAACTTTCTCAGAAATGCTCATGCCTATTTGTTCTTTTCTTCTCTTAAAGACGAAGCAAATACAAATTTTGCATATTTTTCTGAAATGGGAATGGAAGGAACACTTCCTTTGAATATAACCACAATGTCTCATATTGTGGTTTATTGGAATGCTAATGATCAGCAAAGCAACTTGTGACAAGGTTAAATGCTAAATGGCATACAGTAGGCTATTTTCATATTATGTATAGATGCCAAAGATACACTACATTTGAAAAGTAGATACAAAGGAGCCATTGAGTCTGACATATAGTGAATGAAATCACCAGGGTTTGTTTGTTTATCAATCTGTGGCCTCAGTGGTTTGAGACTGTCGTGTTAGTTAATTAATCATGTGGGCTCACTGTAATCAATACTGTAAAGCTGACTCGCTCTTTTTTTGAAAGTCATAAGCATCTGAATTATTTCTGGAAAAAAAAAAATTTCTGTAGCCTTTTAGCCAATGGTTTCACACACTCCAGCAGTGTGAAGGCCTTTAACTTACCTGCACTAAATGTGCATATCCACATCCAGGGATTGTAACTTGTGTCATGGGGTGTGTAAGAGGATGTGTAAGGGTGTGTAAGAGGAAGCGAGGAAAATGACCGAAATGTAGACGACCAGGCAGACAGGAACAGTTCAGTGACTTTATGGTAAAATGATGATACAGATGCTTAAAGGCAAAGGCATCTAGTATAAACAGACATAGCAGAGAATCCATAGATGAACAGCTGAAGTTGAAGTGGCTGGCAAAAAAAGGCACAAACCAGCATTCACTATATGGGCTTGGGGGAAGTGAGAAGTGGCTGGGGTCTGGCACAGAAGGGCAATCTGAGCAAAATAAACATGACAGCTTGTTTAATAGTCATATTGTAGCAGTAATTGTAATCAACAATTCCATGTTGATCGGAGGTAACAAATGACTCTAAATTAATTTTATGGCATGTAGTCATGGTGGCAGATCAGACATTTCAGAAAATGTTTGTTGGTCTCTGTTGCAGTGTTATCTCTTAATTAAGTATGTGTGCAGAGGAACACGTATTTACACTGCAGTGATGATAACATTGCAGTCTTACACATCTACACACATGCACATTCAGTTGTAGAAAATATCCTTCTCCCAGATCACAGGCGTGCATTCGATTTGGCTTGATCAGTGGCAGCACAGCACTTCCACATTCAAACAGGAAAGGGGACTCACGCTGATAGGAAGTTACAGCCCTTGCTAGCATGAATGATGCATTTAGCGTATAAACCGACATGGTTGAGCCCACTTTGATCTGATGGAGTGTCAGTGATAGGGATGTGAGCCAACTAGGCTAACATTTGAGGTTTTATTGTTTCAGCTACAGGAATCTGATTCCTCCAACTCATTTAAAAGAATCCTCCTGGATAGGATTTCTTACAAGCCAGGACACTAAATCCGCTTCCGGGAGATTCTCTACCAGGCCGGTAGTGTTGCTGTGACATTCTGTCAAACCATTGTCTCTGATTATACAAGGGGTAGTGTCAGCCAAGCAATATGCATGGTCAAAGAGATGTTCCAAGAGTGGTGATAGTTTCCAGAAAGCACATTTGTTTCTTATAAAAATGGAATCAGCTCTCATTATGACTCTCATGGCAGTCAGGGTGTTGCTCTGTGCTCGCTTCTCCTGATTATTGTTATGGATGGGCACTCTTTTATAATATACAGTACAAATGCACAAGTAACTCTTTCCTAAAATGTTTTTTCTCCCCTCCTTTTCTGCTTACTGTGGTTGTTTAAGTAATTTGGCTTGGAAAGCCTTGGAATGCCCCGCTACTTCAATACAAGCCAAATTTACTGATAAAGCACATTTAAAAACAACACCAGCTGACCAAAGTGATTCACAATGTAGAATCCTACCCCGTAGTATACAGAGCATTGGACCAAAACACTGACACTGAATGTAATCCAGGAGGCAGTCATGTTTCTTTCCAAACACATTTGCCAATGCCAGGTAGTTTATTGTACTTGCAACAGACATAGTTGGCAGAATGACATATTGTAAAACTTATTTTGGTATTGTAGCATGGGAGCAGGGAAATTGAAAGCAGGTCCTTTTCATTCACTCATTATCACTTACTTAAACATGCTGAGCAGCGTTTTTCCAAAGAATCATAAAAACAGTGTTCAAACCAACGTTCAGCTATTTAGCCACAGATGGCAGTCACCACAAGGTCAAGAACTTTAACCCTCTGGGCCCTCAGAGATCAAGTGTGCCGCACTGTAGACAGACCATGTTTTGAAATAAGAGCAGACTAAGTGGGAGACTTTGCAAAGAAGGGTGTGAACTCCAGGGCCCGAACATAAAACAGCTGTGCACTGTATTCTGCAGAGTATCCCAGCTATATTAAACCTGCTTAAATGTATTATGTTCCATTATATTCCATACACTCTTGGAGTCCATTTTTACATTTTTCTTTTATGTTATCCCCTGCCTCTTACAATAATGTGTAAAACAGTTACTGTATGTGCAGCATGGAAGTATTCTGTGTTGAATTTATTTCATAAATCCACGTTTTTTTTTATAAATTGCCCTGCCACTTTTTATATTGATTTGCAGCTGAAATAGTCCTTTAGCCCTTGGGCAACAAATAACCTTCCCAGTCCTTGGCCTCTCAAAGAAGCATTTGATTTTTTGAGAGCTTTAACTTTGTGTATTTATCATTTTAGTCATGTACCGTTTACACCAAAATCTCAAAGAATTCAAGGGACACAATAGAAGAGGGTATGAAGCTCAGAGAGAATGGGAGATGATATATTGGAGTGAAAACTAATTTCCAACCTGTCTGAGGAAACTCTCTCTCTTCCTCCCCAGGCTGTGCTTTGCCTTCTCAATGACCTTATCATTGCATTATTATTATTTTTTCTGATCTTGATTTATTATGTTTATGCTCTTCCACTTTTGACTGTTAATCTGAGTCTGGAGTTAGGGCTAGGGTTAGTGCATTTTGAAGGGTACAATGTTTTGCTGTTCTTTTTACGCAATGTATAAAATTAGGGAGGTAGTGGGGGTGTGGGCTGAGAGATGAGTTACTGAATAAGCTGTAATTCATATGAGAGTGGGTGTGATTTGAAATATGATATTGTTTTTCCTATATATTCCCTATTTTCTCTGCATATTTTGCTTCTGCTGGAACACATTTTCAGCTGTGAACACAGAATTGTTATTTGACTTTACAGAGCAGCTGAGGTCATACACACAAACCTGTAGCTGCATTGCATTAGGCAGCTATAACTGTAGCACATGGTCAGTGGTGATGTAAAAGATTGGCTTCTGTGGCTTTGGATCCATTTCTATATGTTTTTCATTATCTGAATGACCGGGAAGCCAGGATAAAGTTAATCAAGCTAAATGGAATCAAGTTTGTCAGGTTTATTTATGTCAATTACTCAGGCTGCAGTAAGAAGATATTGAAATGTTTTATTGATCATTGAAGCTGATTGACTGGTTCATTGTTCAGCCTCTGAAAGCTATACATTCAGTATTAAGAATGACATTTGACTCAATTATCTTTCATATTTATTGTATACTTTTAAATGATAGATTTGATTTTCATAATCTGTGAGAATCTGTCTTATATTATGTTTTTGTTTAGGTTAATATTTCCAAATGGGCTTTCAAGTGAATACTCCCTTGTCACCATCTTCCGGGTAAGAAGGACTACAAAAAAAGACCGCTGGTATCTTTGGCAGATATTCGACGAGTCGGGAGGCAGTCAGGTGGGTCCCGCTATATGTTTTAATGTCACATATCAGTTTCAGTATCTACAAATATGCTTGGATATGATGGGATGGAAAGGAATGCTGTTTTTAAACTCTCCTCAGGTATCGGTTGTGGTTGATGGTGGCAAGAAGGCGGTGGAGTTTTCTTCCCAGGACCTGCTAAAGAACACTCGCCGCTACACATTTAAAAGCCGTGACCTACATGCCCTCTTTGATCGCCAGTGGCACAAGCTGGGCATTTCTGTACAGAGCAACATAGTCTCCATTTACATGGACTGCAAGCTGATAGAAAAGAGACAGACTGACGAGAAGGCCAGCATTGACCCCAGTGGGCGCACCCTTATCACTACACGAGTGGAGGACGGACGGCCTGTAGATGTATGTCCCACGTAAACATACTATTTTGTGTTCAAGCATTTAACAGTTATGATGCAGTAGTTTTGCTACCCATCTCCAGTTTTGATCAATACTGTACTATCTTCACTGAAATTTTGGAAATGCACTCTCTGTACTTTCACAAACATGCTTCAGTGGCATATTTTCTTAATCGGTGTAAATCCTATTTTGTGTCATGTGCTACGCTCATTCTGAGAGGTTCCCCTGTGCTAGGGTGTTAAACAAACATTAGGTCAGCTATGCCATTTGGTTACCCGATGCCTCTGAGTAGAACTTGTCTTAAGTAGCATTAACAGCTGACTTTTTAGTCCACGTAATTTGTAAAGAAGTAAGTCAGTAAATCCGGAAAAAAATGCTAGGGTTCATGTTCTGCTCTGAAGCAGCTGCAACTCATGCAAAGGTTGAAGCCTTTTCTTAAATTTAGATGTGATGTTTTTTACCTTTTTTGCTGGCAGTGGGAATGGCAATGTTCAAGCGAGAACAGTTGACAGTTGAACAAACTGTACTGTTTAACCAGTGAAGAGCAGACCTTTGCCAGTTCACAGAGGAGCATGATGTGATGACGAACTCTTGTATGATGCTTTAATGGTCCCTTAATGAAAGCTCTTTTTCACAGATTGAAATGAGACAAATTCTAATCTACTGTGACCCTTATATGGCTGAAATGGAAAATTGCTGTGAGCTACTGGAGCCCAAGGTAAAGTGTCATGATGTTTTACCACACTAATAACACCCTCTGTAAATAAAGTGACAGCAAGTAATGAATAGTAGGAATTTGAATAGTAAGATTGAGTCACTTCTGTCCTTAGTGCATTTCACCACTAAAGAAATACATGAGAAGATACAATATATGTTTGTCTTCAAAATGTTGTACTTTTTTGAAATGTACTTCAGTAGGTCATCAATTTAAGTACATCCACCAAATATCTTTGTGTTCTACAGTTGGCTAGCTGGCTGGCTTATTTTAACCTATGCAGTGTTATCAGACAATGAAAGTGTATCAAGGTTTTTGTCTCTTTTGTCATAAGGGTATGCGTCCCCAGATAGAAACATAATAACAGAGATCTTCCATCACCATAGAATCAATGAGAGCTAATGTTACAATGATTCCGAATGGGGAGATGACCTCTGACCCCTGACCATTTCATTTATCCATAAGCATGCTGTCATGTCAGTGTAAAGTTACTCCTTGGGAATTGACACAACCTTGAGAAGGACTTATCACTATTTGTCTGCTTAGTGTTTTCTTTGTTTCACTGTATGTATGCATTTTATATTTCTTATTTCCAAGCATGGCATAAATATATGCCGGGTTACCTCAGATTAAGTGTGTTGCATTAAAATGGATTTTGAAGTTGTTGTTTTTTTGGCATGTCGCAAACATGACAAAAAATGGTTTCTAAATGGTGAATTTCTGTATTGATCCAGTGTGGAGCCAAGAAGACATTTAATGGGACTTCCCCTCCCCTGGTTACAGCCCAGCTCCCCCAGATGCTGTCTCAGCCAGCCTCACAGTCAATTGACAGATGTCAGTGTCCAGCTGAAAAGGTACAATCAATTCCCCCCAACAAGGCCCTCTAATTGAGTAAGTGTAATGGCTATTGTAACTGAACCAACAGAGGTTTACACGGCATCCTCTCAATCCTTTATAGGCACTAAACAGCCAGTTAAACAACATTTATACCAAAGAGTATATTCTTTGGATGTCAACCAAAGGCAGTATAGCTATAATATATTAGTAAACACAGGTATAATTATCCCAGACTGTTGAAGCATGGTATATCTGCACTCCGCTATAAATTTGTGAAAATGCAAAAGGATTCTTTCAGCTGCAATATTAATGTTAGATTGAGATGCAAATTGAGACCTGAAAGCTTCAAGCTCTCTTTGAAGGGAGCAGATGGTACAGCTCCAAGGTGATGTCCAATTCCACACCCAGCCTTTTATGTTTTTTAAATTTTTCTTGTATGTTGCAAACATAATCAACTTTTCATAGCCTGAGAACCAGTGAAATCAGGATTTTGGGGTCATAGATTAAAACACAGTGTTGCTACTGTGTAGACATTTCAGGTATTTCTATCAGAAATACATTTTAGATATTAGAATAGGCTAAAATAATCTACATTTTCAAGTAACACGTTGACTCTGTAATTGCTACATTGCTTTACCGATTAATGGTAAGTTTCACTTTGGCTTTTTCATTCAGAAATCATAATACTTAAACAAATCCAGACCAAGAGGGTGACTCACATACATCTGCTTCTTTGTGGAGACAGAAGTGTCATAAATGTCCAGGATTTTTGTTTATGGCACGCATATGTGTGAAAAAGATAGATCCAATAGCAATAGCCACATTTTATCTTTGATTACAGGGAAAATTTTAATCCTACTAATGAATACTGTTTGCACAGGGAGATGCTGATCTTCCAGGTGTAGTTGGACTGCCAGGAGAAAAGGGGAATAAAGGAGACAAGGTAGGAACACTATTTTTATGATGTTGATACATGCACTTGTTTGTTCTTGGTTTTTATTTAAAAGGAAGCATGCAGGGGTTAAGTGAATGTTAGAGATGCAATATTTTCACTGCAATCTAGATTTAGGTAAGTGGGCAGCAACACATTCAACAGCCACAATTCACTGTGAGTCATACATAATGCAGAAACATTGATTTAATCATAGAGAGTATTTGTTCTTTGCCCCTTGCTGTAAATAACCATACTTTTGTTCGCAAAACTCAACTGCTTCCATTGGTTTTATCAGTGTCCAGTACAGCTGGTTTTCCAGGACAGTTTACAAATTTATACTTTGTCTTAAAGTCATTATCAGATTAAGATTAATACATATCTCTCTCAGCAAGGAAACGCCTGTGCTGTAATGTCTGACAGAGTTTCATGTTCAGTGGTCAAGGCCCTTTAGAGATTCTACCATACAATTACCTTCACAAGGTGAATTTTCTCTCAAACCTCCCAAGGTGTGTGAATTAGGCAATCATACATTTGTCCAATCACTAGAAAAATTGGTAGTTGAGGCAAGAATCCTTTCTCCATGACAGCTCAATAGACAGGTTGGGACTGTAAAAAATGCTCAGTCACTGAAAATTGTGGGTGTTGAGTTGGTTGCAGGACAATAAAAGACATAAACGAACCACCAAATACCCAGACAAAAATGTGTTCCCAGACAAATCACAGTATGAAATCCCCTTTTAGCTGTGCAAGGTTAAGAAAAGAACCAAGGGAGAATACTTTCAGCTGTGAATGGAATTCATAGGGATGAACAGGTGGTGGTACTGTATGCCTGATAAGACCAGATGGCTTTTGGGGTCAGTGTCCTAATTACCATGATGTGGCTGTGGGATTAAGATATGCTGGATGACTGTTTGACTTTTGTTTCTGGAAAACCACTCATTCCTGGAAGGCACAAAAGCGACATACATATAAGTGTAAAATCATTATACCCATAGAGCCCAGCTTTGGAATTTGGCATTGGGGTATTTTTTGGGCGGCCTACATAGTGAATTGTGACATAGTGTTTAATGCTGTTTATCCTGTAAACAGCACCAAACAGACACCGTTGGTCTGGATACTTAAGATTGGCTTGACATGTTAGGTTGCTGTTCTGTCTTAAACCTACTATAATGCATTTTCAACTGGTTATGAAACAGTCCTAATTTAATACTAATGTATCTATGTAACCTACATAAACAAACAAAACCATCAGCAAGAAGATTGGTTATTTCTAAATAGTTATTCGTGTCTGCCACCAGCTCGGATTCGGTAGAAACACTACTGCTTTTGTCCTCAGGGGCCGCTACAATCAACAAAATATGAAAGTTCCTTGTTGCTGCTTTAAATTGAGTGAAATTTATCATAAATGACATGCATTTCTAGATTATTAAGAAAGCAATTCAGTTTTACATTTAGCTGCCATATTACCAGGCAATTATTACAATGTCAGTGGCAAATTGAGAATAATGAGCATCTGTCATTTTGTGACTAGAGAGCTATTATATATACATATATGTATATATTTTAACATTTGAAACATTAAAGCTCTATAGTTGTTATTTCTATTTAATTGTTTGTTTTTTATGTTATTTTTTATCATTTTTATTTAGGTGACAACTCTGCCTTCTTAGAACAGGTGTAGATCTTTTTTATATTAAATGGGCTATGTGGGAACCCACTTTCATGCAATTTGCAGTCAGAAGTATAGATCATTATATTCAAAACTGTGTGTATAGCAACAGATTGTACTAATCGTATTTGTGAACGTGTTATAATTGGACTCTAATGACTCTTAATTGACCTAGCAGGGATCAGCTCTCAAGCTGTAATGTGTCTGTGTATATGCACTTTGAGTGTGTTGGTGGTGCTGGTGATTAATTACTTGCTGCTAATTGATATGAGTATATTCACTCGGTAAGAATGCATTAGGCAATTTTACATTTGACAAAAGTCAGCATGTATAGCAGGGACCGTGACACATTCTTTTGCATATATGTATATGTATATATTCCCCAAGTTCTTTTTGAACCGAAGCCTCTGTCTCTTCCAAAGAGACCGTTAGTGCGCATCATTTATCGGAAAAGGTCACCTGTGTACAAAAAAAGTGGGTTCAGAGTGTACTTAATAGTAGATCACTGAGCTGTTATGTTATAATACTCAATGATTTAAACATGATTTTCAGGAGAACAGGCCCTTTCATTTTTTCTTTGCAGGCCATGACATGAGTCAGTGGCTCATACTGTTAACACTCGAAATCTAATTTCAGGTCTTCAACAAATCAATACTTGGCACCATTTGTTTACTTACTGAACAATAAAATTCATAACAAATCCTATTACAGGCTTGAACACTAAATCAATGAAGTTAAGGAAAATCTTGATCATGGCATACACATTCAAGTCGAAGCCCACTAGTTTGGTCATGATAATCTGGCACAATCAGCCAACAACACACCACTATTACTCAGAAAAACATAATGGTAATTTTGTTTTTATGATGATAATAGACCCATTGTTCCACTTTTAGTTAATAGTATGATTAGGCAAATGTGACCTGTTTGTCAGAAGAATAAATCCGTACTTAAAGATAATGTAACATTTCCTCACTACACTAGACCTATGTTATATGTTGTGTTGAGCTGTGTACTTGCATTGTCCCAAATGTTTTCAGCAACACAACAACATTCAAACCAGGGAAAATCGTAGTTTTATTATACACAAAGACGTCAAATACGTCAGAGAGTGAGGAAAGGAAGTTTGCGGACATGGCTAAATGTAACATAAATAAAACTTTAATATTACCTCATTTGTGAATAATTTCACACACATCAGATAGATTTTCATAGATTCTCTTACTTTTTCTGCAGCACTCTTTACTTAAATGATGAAATAAACATTTTATTTTAAAGTGATTATGGTGTACATTTCTGACCTACTTCTCTCCATGTGTTCCTCCCACCTCAGGTCTTGAGAGGTTCATCACCTCCTTTATTTCAGCTTAATTTTCCTCCTAATTCCCGTGTTTATCTCCTTCATCTCTTTATGTGTGCATAGTGTAATGAATTGTTATTGCAGCATGAGAGATAAAGACATTCTCAGTTTGGAAAAACACCATATGTAATCGTAGTTTAAATCTTGACTTAATAAATCTGCAGGCACAGGGACATTTGTTTAAATAATGAGTGTAATCAATACTTAAACAGGCACAGCAGCTCCAGTGCCACTCCAGCAATTAGTACACTGACAGGAGTGCTTTGAGAATTTAATTTACCTGATTTAGAGTTTGAATGAGTCCACACAAACTACAGTTGCTGTATTTGATAGACTGTGGTGCAATAGTTATTGATGACACACTTTATTTGACCCATAAATAACTAGAAACGGTAACATAGTAAAAGGTTAAGGTATATTTGATTTAATAGTGCAGGCAGAGCATATGTATGCCATCCACTAACATTAGCTGAAATTTTGTAACTTGAACAGAATTATCATTGGGAGCGAGAGCAGCATATACTTGAAGACAACAAAATGTAACTGATCATTGGGTGAAAATTTTTCTTATATCTTGTGGGATTTGCAAATGTGCATGTGCCCCTACCACTGAGAGAAAACAAGTAGGAAAGTGGTTTATTTTGAGCCATCTGTGCAGTATATCAGAAACGTCATGCTTTGACACAATCATGTGTAGTAATTGCTTTTCTCTTCTTCACTTTGACCTTGTTGCACATTAATCTGTCTGGTAAATTGTGGTAGCATTGCACTTCTGTTAGCATATTTAATTCATATTGATCCCTAAATTTCCAAGGGAGTTCCAGTGACTATTAAACCGGGCTGCGCTCTTTTAGATTTACATTATAATACATTAAAAGGGTAACAGAGTCATAGCAAATACTGTTAATAAGGTAAGATCATGAGACTTTCAATTACCAACATGAGAATCTCAATCTGTATAAGATTAAAAAGTACTCTGAGTATACTTATTAACAATTTAACTTGACTTTGTAGAGATTAATCAAAGACATCTGGGCAATTTAGAGCATTTAAAACACCCATAATGAGAACTGCAGGCCAATCATCGTGACCTACACAGAGGGTTTCTTGGGAAAGTGTGTGTGGATTACTTTGGCTGTGTTACTTCAACAGAAAGTACTATCCCGCATTACAGTCTGAGTTGGATGGAGGATTCTAATGCACTGCAAAGGGATTAAACTGCTATGATTAATCCAGAATCCCTCAGGAAATTAAACAGATAAGGATTGGGTTATAAGAATGCAGCTTACTTGAAAGGAAATCCATTTTCTATGGCCTTGCACATAAACCCTGGTATTACTAGATTTACAGCTCCTGCATGTACATGCAAAAGAAAAAACATAAGCATAATGCTGAAATTAAAACTTCCTACACTTCTTCAGTACCCTTAATTTGTTTTGTACCATTTACAACTCTCCTGCCCTTATGGCTTGTGTTTTCAATTAGTGCCCTCTAATTCAATTTATACCCATTGTACCTCCAAAGGGAATAATTCCAGGAATTTTATTCAAGACAGTTTATTATTACACTGACACAGAATTTTGATGAGCTGTCAAAACCTTCCATTGTTTCTATTATATTCATCAGCATTAAAATATTATTAGCTTTTTTAAAAAGGGTTTTGTGTCAGTGGTTGAATAGAACATTTAAATGGATGGCTAAATTGAAAGCCCTGTGAAATACGCACATTCCCATATGCAATTTATATAGGAGGTTTATCTGTTCTTAATGAATGACATCAGCAGCTGTGTATTTCTACTGTCTCATACAAATGAAATAATCATGGGATTGCTGAGTCCATGGAAGTATTACATCTTGCCACATGCTTAATATCTAGCTAATTTATCACTTCACTAACAAACTGTATTTATACGGATCAAAGTATTTATTAAAGGTAGACTTGGTATTTTATCTAGAATAATGAGTACAATAATGGGTTCATAATCCATGGAATAGCGATGGCATATCAGTTATTAGGTTGGCCACATTTTCTTTTTCTTCCTAAACAGGAGTTCTAACAAACAGGGCTTGAAATGAAGATGTGAAGTTGAATGGGCATCTTGTTTAATTAGATTTTTAGCTTGCAGCCAGTTCTGTGCTAGCTTAATTTGTTAAATAACTATCTACCTCCATCTTCTCTCTCTTTTGTGGACAATTTGTTCCCTTTCCTATCTTATTCTGTCTTGGACTTGTCCTTCACTGCCAAGTTATAGCCCTAAGACAAAAAACAATGCCTTTTCTGCCTTTCTTGCCTTGTCCTCTTTTTTAAATATTACAATTATTAAAATAATACAATGAACCTTAACAAGGTTCAGATTTGTGCTTTCCAGTTGTTAGGAAATAGTATCCCAATCTGCAGCTGCTGAGCCACAGTGTCAGCAAGAACTCGTGGAACAGCTGTAGAAGCAAGATCGCCGACGAAATGACAAGCCTTCATAGAGCTATTCACTAATGTGTGAACGAGAGACCTTTCACTAACTGTTCTGTGTGTTGTTTCCGTCACAGGGCGACACAGGGGATGCCGGGCTTCCAGGAAACCCAGGACATAAGGTAGGCCACTCACTGATGGAACAACTTAAAAACCTTCCCCCAAACACAATTCCCTATTGTTGCTTTGCCCTTAAAGTTGTGATTGACATGAACACAGTTGGAAACTTCAGTTGTGTTTTTTTCATTAAGTTCATTTTGTTATAGTTTCAAATTGATGTTTGTTTTTACTGCATGGTTTTCAGATGCAGTGAATAGCAGGTGGCATATTGTGTTTAGTGATTTATGGAATCTGTCACTGCCCCTCTCTGAGATGATTTTCTAACATCATTGGATTAAATCACTGGCTTGCTTTGTGTTGACCCCGTCACAGCAACACAGAAAACAAAGCAATCTCAAAATCAAATTAAACCAGCAAGTGGGTGCCTGCTTGGCGCAGGGTAAATGGTACTGCTACAGAGACACAAGTTCTGTCCCAAGCAGCGGCACTTCTGGTTTGGCCAGGCGCCCTATTGGACACAGTTCCTAGTTGGGAAGCCAGTAAGGGATCGTGTCCTTGTCACTGCACTAGCAACTTCTACTAGATGGTTGGGCTGTCTGTACATAGGGGGCTGAGCTCTAAATGTGAGCCTCTGTGTCTCAGCTATGTCCTCTCTGTGAAGCTCTTTGCCGTCAGTTGAAAAACTATCCTTGTATGACTTGTTGAGTATTTGAAGAAATATGTAACTGTGTAAGCCCTCCCCAGGCTGATAGTCCAGGTCAGGATTCACAGACATTGCTGTGGAGTCAGACATTTAAATTTGAAGAAAAATGTATTTATTTTAACCGGAAGCTTTAGGACTGTCTAAGTGCTTGTTTTGTAATTCACTGTTGTTGTTACAGTCCTGAAGAGCTGAAAATTGCCAGATTTTGCATCCTCTCAGTAAAATTACATTTTACTGGGATCACTTGTTTGTTTCTTGCTCACTGCGTTCTGTGATATTGTCATCAGTAAGATTGTAGACCATAAAATGTAGCATCTCAGATGCCTGTGTTAAACTCCTTCACTGAAGGAGGGCGTGTCCAGTCACCAGGAACCACCACTTACTGTGATGCCAGTACTACAGGCTGTTGTACTTTCATGTATTGCAAAGAGAGGGTGTGGGATTCTCTTCTCAGAAAAACGAAGAAAACATATAGCAAGAAAAAATCATATGCACTAGATATTTCTTTGTAGTCAGGTGATCAGTTGTACTGGATGTGGAAGATGGCTTAATCCTGGACCTATACCCACTATAGATGTTAAGCTGGGTGACATTTTTGCCGAAGAACCTTGATACATGGAATATGGAATAACGGTTAATGGCACAGCTCTCTCCACTTCTGCTATCTGAGATGAGGCTCAGGAACCAGCTAAAGCCGTTTTCGTTACACAACAGTGCACAAGAAAAGACTACATCAAAAGCAGTTCCAGTAGTATTGATGTTGATGCTAATGCACAGTACCATGTCTTGTAGTATTTTACATCTAAGCTTAATTCCTTGTCAGTAAAGCTTTTTATGTTCCAGAGATGTTTCATGAAACCTGTTTACTGTGCAAATCACAATGTGTTGTGTGTTGTTTGTAATATTATTACAGTAGTCTTTTTATTTTTTTAAATTTATAGATGTATGGACACATGTTCTGTACAGATGCACAAGGCAGTTGTGGCTTATATTGTGCCCTTGGACAAAACCTAAGACACACACATTTTCAGACTCTTTTGGTAGTCATATTGTGAGAACAACAATTCCATGCAGCTGTCGATATCATAAGAGTAATGATATGGTTGCCCTTGGACACTATAATATGGCAGTTTGCTTTATGGGCCAGCTGAGGTCATGAAACTGTATAGGTTACACTCTAATAACAGAGCCAACAAGTTCCAAGACATCTCACACATTTCTGGCAGAGTGTGTGGAAAGTAGGGGCTGGGTAGCTTGTGAAGAATCAGTGATCAGGAAGATATTTGTGGAAATAAGCCTCTAACAGCTTATTCCCTGACAACATATAATCTTACGCATGCTATAGACTTTGCTGAGACTGAAATGATGCTGTGAGCTCACTAAGCAAACAATATTGCTGGGAATTTGGTATCTGGTTCCCAAGTGTGTTTTTGTATCTGTGTCACTGTGGTGCAAGTGTGCAGTTTCTTGCTAAGCTCAATTCGGAGGGGCTGTTAGTGAGTTTTAGAGTTTGGGATTTAACTTTATTGCGCCATTAAGGACAAGACAAAAAGTTCTAGATGTTCCTGCTCCCTTTAGCACAGTTTTATTTACATAGATAGTTGCATTTAGAAAGGATATCTTTTTAATGTCCTGCCACTGTGGGACGTGGTACAGCGTAGACTCATTCTTCTACCACAATAACTAGAGAAATACATGATAGCAATATCATACCAACACAGTCCATCTGTATCGTATTGTAATTAGATTGAGGATTCCCTCGGTGCTTAAATTTGCATGTTGATGAGGATAAAATGGTTTTCTTGAAACTACTATAACTCTATAATAAAGTAATTCTTTAAGTGAGTTCATATAAATACAAGATGTATGCAAATATTTAGTAATACTATTTATGCTTGAATGTATTCTTTAGCTTATGTAATTAGTATCTGACCATCTATGAAACACTAAAAATAAGCTTTTCAGAGTGACCATGTTCCTCCATAATCTTGCTTTAGAATTTAGAGAGTCTGGTTGATTCCAATAATACTTAACAGGATTGTGGTATAAAAGAACTGTGCCAAATTGTTTAGACCTATTGGGTGTAAAAGTGAAAAAAAAAAGTATGAACTTTTCAAGGGTCTTTTCTTTGCCTTTTAACTTTCAATCTCGTGATTGCAGGGGGAACTTGGATCAGAAGGGCAAAAGGGAATCGATGGGGAGAAGGTAAGTACTACTATCTCCAGCAGACATATATTCCATACATAGCACATCAGCCAGCTCTAGTTTCGTCAGGGAATCAATTCTTATAGGCTTTTCATTTTCTGTGTGATGCCCTCGGGGTAGGAGCGGAGCACAGTTTTCTGTGTGGCTCTTTTCAGGTGTCTGTTATATCTGAAGCAGATCTAAGTGTGTTCTAGCCCTCAATGTCCTTCTGCAGTGAAATTAATTTATATGTATGCTACCACAGGCTTGGCATACTAATGGACTAAACTAATTTTTCAAATTACAGTAAGCTCCTTCTGTGTCATTTCAGGTTCAATTTTATTGCATGCTTTTAAATCTGTCTGCAGTGATGAAACTAATGTATGTAACATAAGCCACAACTAGAGGCACAAGTAAATTACTCTTTTTTGCTTTGCCTAAATGCAAATGCATTAGAAATGAATTACCATTCTTATTGGATCTTAGTGTAGTGTGTGTTGTTTCAACCAGAAGCAAATTAGTACACATTCCTTAGTTAAATCAAAGTGTTGTGTTTTATGTTGTACAGTATTTGTTTGCCCACAATGGCACAATCTCAGTAGATGGTAGCAGTGCAGATGGTCAGTTTTAAGAGGCTTAATAAAGGGACATTTTTCATCACCATCACCCCCTTGAGTAGACAAACAGCTGCCACAGAAATCAGTCTCCCTGCTGGACCTGCACTCTGCCCCGTAGTTACTCTGAGAGAAATCAAAAAAGAAAACCAGGGATAAACAAGTGTGTGGAGCTGAAAGGGTATTGAGCTGCAGTATAATAGAAGTACCTGGTATTCAAAAACTATTTATTCGGACTAGGGAGGTAGCTCGATAAATGTTCCATCAGTACTGTTAGAAGAGCCTGCAGAGTTTACAAAAGAATTTTTGCTAATACAAGAATAATTGAAAACTTGTCAGAATATAGAAAAATAAAATATTAAAAAACTAATGAAGTCAGTCCTTTGTTGAGCATTGTGGCATTGATAAGAAGAGGGAGAGAATGGATAACTAAACCTTCAAATAATGCTCAAAATGCAGTTTTGTGCAAAACTTTTTCATCAGTGTAGATAAACTGTTATTGTAATTTGATGTATGAATTTTTTTAGGATTGCAAGAAAACATGAACTCTGGTCGAACTTAATAATACATAAAACATATTAGCAGAATTTGAAGTAGTGATTCTGTCTGTGTATGCAACAAAAATCATACTTATTATGTTGTGTTAATGGTGCAGTTGCTGGTGTTAACTAGGAAAGAAAGGTAGCTCACTGTTACTGTTCTGTATATTAAAGAGAAAAAGAAACTGGTCAACTCGGAAGGGTCCGCTTGGACTGGATAGATTCTGGATAGATTCTTTCTCTCTGCCCTTAACCCCCATAAATATTACCCTAAGTAGGTTACCCTGGATGAATATAATTGTGCTGTAATCCAAGTAAAATTCAGGTTGAAGTTAAAAAAAAAAAAATTGGCAGGCTATAGACTCTGGCATTAGTTTGTCTTCCCACAACCAGCATGGCTTGCTTTGTTCCAAGGTAAGTAGCTATTGGCAGCTTGAAAAGCCAGTTGACGTCATGTGCATATTTGCATATGAATGACACAAGTTTATTTACATAGAAATTTGAAGGAGAGCGAGACCACCTAAGTGGAAATTACCTCCATCCACATCAACGGCTAACTGATTTGTAGTCACAATATTACACAAACTATAATGTGAACATGATTCCTTGGATCACAGTTTGTATGGTTTATCTATTGATTGCCACTGGTGCTACAGCAATCAAGAGGAAAGAGTGACAGAGCTTGTGAGCAGCCCTTCTTTCTTCGCTAACTGGTTCGCTCTGGGCTCCAGTTGACTGGACCACTGAGTGGTACATAAACTGAAAACAGCTGGAAGCTTGTCACTATGGAGGGACTGAGACTGTGTTTCCAAGAAAAGCAGCTGCTCAAAACTTTTCTAGAAGTCACCAGTTGATGTCATTTGCATATCGAGTCCAGCTCTGTTTGGGGAGGGAGGGGTTTACCATGTGTGTTCAATCAGGCTGATTTGTCGCTTTTGGGCTATAACATCACAATGGGGTGTCTGAAAAGCTGTGGACCCTTGGTCGAGAGGCCGTCCTCGCTCCCCTTTGCTCTGTGTGCATCATCATTAGTGGTGATGAGGTGGAAACTTGGTAACAAATGAGATTCTCACTCTCGTGACAGTATTCACATAATGATTAGAAATATGGAAACTGACAGTTGTAGTTCTCACCAACAACCTGCCACCAATCAAAGTTATCCATTTATCCATTCATCCATTTATTTATATGCAGCTGAAGAAAGACAATTTGAGAATGCTTTTATGTCATCAAGAGCAGAGAGAGATCAATATAAATTTCACCTCTATGTGTCCAGTACAAGAATAGGACTGGGACACAAATCTGTATTCCTAGAAGGGCAGCAGGAGAGCTGACTTGTTTTTGATCTTTGTGCATCCCACATGGGTAGTTGAGCTTTTCTTTGGTCACGCTCACATGGCTCACCATGCTTGCCCTCTAGGGATTTATTATACTGTGCCCCACTTCCTTGAGTGATTTGAAACAAAGAAAAGTTGAGAAATGGAGACTATATTTTGTGAAGCATTGCTTCTAGCAGGCGTGTTTGTCCAGGATTGCAGACCCCCATTGTGGATAGTATTGGATGGCCCTGAGACATGTTCAGCCTATAGCTTAACACAAAAACAGCCGGTCTAGCTAAATGAAAAGTGAAAACGATATACCTTCCAATCGGCTGTATCTTGTTAGCTAGCATGCCAGTTACCAATCCAAGAGTCACCTGAGCTCAGCGATGACATTGACACATCTAGGCTAAATAGGCTTATAGGAAATGTACTCTGCAGTGGATGCAGTTTCAAATATTGCAAAGTACAGTACTTCAAAAAAAAAAAAAAGTCAGTGAAAAGAAATTATTTAAAATTGTGCTGAAAAGCTTGTATTTCCATTACCTGCATTAACTGACTTTTTGGCCACTTGGGGGCAGCGGAAACATGCTGTAAACACATTGCTTAAGAGAAAACTTAATAGTAAGCTGTTGTCGACTTACACATAAAAAAACAACATAACGACTAATTTGCAATGTTTTAGCAGTACAAGGCCCAAAGTGTTACAAAAAGGCAAAAAGGAGAGGCTTAATGACAAGCAAATCAAATCTGTATTCTTCTTTTTTAAAACTGCTTTTTAAAATTGATTTTTAAATTCATAATGTATTTATTGACTGTTTAATGTTGCTTTTGTAAATCCCTTTGTAATTTGAACTATATGATATGGGTTGATATTTCATTTCTAAATAATTTTTATAATTCCTCTTTTTATTGCCAATTCAAATATCAAATAATTAATTACTTTGTGAGTTAGTCTATTTATTCATAGATTATAAATTAATTTCTAAACAAATGTATAAATGCCTATTTTTAATAATAATAGTTTTTTCTTAATTAATGTAATGCCTTATGACTACGTCTGTGACACTTTGGTGCTCCATAGCAGCTTTCCAAAAGTGACACTAATTACAAAACAGTGAGTTTATAGATTCTAAAACACTCTGTAGAGCGCGAGGGGAACTTCAAACTAGGGTGAAATTCTCTGTTGCTTTGTCACCAGAAGCGACTGTTTTCACATGCAAGTAGCAATATGACCCATTGTTAATATATAAATATTGATTGTAGCTGCTTTCAAGTGAAGAAATTAAATACAATATCTCCCTAATGCCCTTAGTGGGGTTTTTTAGCAAATAATCCCAACATAAGTTTCAGCCATTTATCACAATTGATACAGTATTACATTTTCTATGTATGCGCCCTTGTGGAAATCCTGTGTAAACCAAGATCTAAGATCTAACATAGTCTCCCTATCCGTGAAATTACAGCATAAATCAAGCTGTGATGGGATGTTCATTATTAGTCGTTTCCACAGTGGTCCTGTTTTCTCTGATTTATCTGATTTCTTGACCTAACCCTTATACTTGATTTAGATTAGATATGATGGCAGGATACTGGAATAAAAGATATGAGGTAACCTAGACCCATGTCTCATCAGTGAGCATCAATCAGTACAGGATTAATGGATTCAAACCAGTATTCCCAGTGCCTCAGCAAATAAGTGGATGAAGTTGAACCTCATTGGCTAAATAAGGCTGCCTGTTCTTAACCAGTTAATCACTTACAGTGATCAGTACTAAGAGACTGCAGATGTTTTAAGTCTGTAATGTAGATATCAAACAGACCTTTTAGCTATTGTGTTTCCTTTAGGTCTGTAAAGCTGTGAGAGCTGCAAAGGTAGATAATGTGATCATGAATAATTTATATATATAATATAATGATACTGTTAAGTACAATTATATCTGTGGTTGTTGACTCATTTGGTTCACTTCTGATTTTGTCAGTTGCTTCAACATTTAAGATAGTAAGAACTGTAGAAAAGATGTTTTTAATTAGTTTAAAATCAAATATAGTAACCTATCTTTGATTTTAAACTAATTAAAGACTTTTGTGTTGCACAAATAAACTTGCTTGATAATTTCAGTTAACCTATTTACTGCGACTACTAGAGTCTATTACCCGATCTGTCCCTTTACTGCAATTAGCTCATATTCCATTTTTAAAGCTAGTATGTTATTTAAGGCTCGAGTAGACACCTGAGAAGCCAGAATTCTATGTATGAGCATGTGATCAAGTATCGTTTTGCAGATACACGTCCTATGGGGCAGAAGGAGTGCACAACGTGTTATCTTGTGGGTAATCCAAGTTACATTTGTGAATACATGATGTTCAGTTGAAGAGTGTCATACAAAAAGGAGTCAAGCAACGCTGATAGAACATGATATCCAATGCACTAGAGGATCTCTGACAGTGTACTGCACTCTGATATCCTCACAATGACCCTTTGTTTAGGTTACCTTGGCAAACTATATTTATTCATAGAGTGTAGTGGACATGCTGATAAGGTATTTTTTCTAGCACTCAATATGTGATTAGTCGTATACTCGTATACACATATACTGTATGTGGTGGTGTATTGCTGAGCAAATGGAAAGTCACAAAAGGCATTTCCTGCTGTAACCTCCCTGGCATTTGTGGGCCGGCACTCAAGATATCTGTGTTACTTAGAGATCTTGTTCCACAGAGCTTTAAAGGCCTGCCATTCAGTATTACAACATTTCCCCACCTGAATGAATACTTAATACATCTACAATTTTAATTTATCCTCCCCTCAATAGGCCAAACCCAGTTTGTGTGATTAAATTGTGCACAGCAACTAAAACCTGCAATTATTCTATCTCTTGTCACTCAAGGGCACTGACCTGCAGCTGCTATGGTTAGTAAAAGGTATAAGTAAACTTAATTAGACTGCATTTGTACATCCCTGCTTCTCTGCCTCTGTTTATTTGCTTGTTTTAGTTGCCTTGTGCTGGGGAGTTGCCAGATTGTCTTGTGGCCCCTCCACTACAGGAGTGACGAGACACAGTGGTGTGTGTAATTAGCAGGCAAGTGTACACAGCTCCCCACAGTGTTCTGACCTCGTGCTGCAGGAACGACAGCCAGACAGCCAGCACCAGCCTATTCCCAGCCCTTTCTCACTCCTTCGTCCTTCCCTGTAAATGCAACAAAGCCCACGGCTTGCAACAAAAGCTAACAATATATCTAGCCCTCCAGTCTACATCTCCCTCCATGTCACTGTGCACCTGAATTGGGCCTGTGGGCTCACGGCTGAGTCCATCAGACAGAAGGTCAGCATCTTAACTAGGCTATGGTGTGGAAGGTAGTATGATAATAAAATATGAGGTCCCTTAAGGGGTCATTAGTTGTTTTCTACTTCAGAGATGGGACCTTCTTGACAATCATCAACACATAATATATTTGAATAATTTACTGTTGGTCAGTTGAGACTATTTAAAACAGTGTAGTTTAATCCATAATCTGAGTTATTGCTTTGACATAATTCAAATATAATTATATAAGTACATCTTTTCCCAACTACTCCAACTGATATTATTACTTACTATTATTTAGCTGATAACAAAAAGTCTGTCTTATTTCTAACTCTTACTTCACTTGAACAAATCCATTAGAAAGACTGTTTTAAAAGTCCCCATAGGAGGAGGCTCAAGGAGAGAGAGAAACAAGAGAAAATGGAGTGTTCTGGATCAACTTTACACAGTGACAAGTGTATAAAATTGGCAGGTAACACTTGACTGCACAGTTTTGTAAAACATTTGCAAAAGTGACAACCACTAGCTTTTTAGCAAAATAAGAGAAACCATGTCATTTAACACTTTCATTAAATACAGTATTTGTTTATTGTCTAGAATTTCTGCTCTCCCAAATGGGATAGTTGAATGAATTAAAACCTTTTTCTGTTTTTGCCAAAGACCAAATAATTGCAAGTGAATTAACACATCATGCTATTAAAACAGCATAATGTCCTTTTCATTCTTTCTCTCTCTCTCTCTCTCTCTCTCTATCCCTCTCTCTCTTAAAAAAGGATTCCATTAAAGCTTTTTGAGAAAATACAACTATGATATGCACTCTTTTTTTTGACAAAAAATTGTTTGAGCCCTAATATTAAATACCAAAAAACATAGTGAACATTTTCAAAGCACCAACTCTCAATTAACTCAGAAAGCATGGTGTACTAGCGGCTGTAGGCAAATGAGACAATTAGAGTGAATACTGGTTAATTGTGTATTTTCTTTTTGTGTTCTCCTGAGTAAGATTTTATGCAAAATTTGCAACTGTGCCAAAACCCTCAGCCAAGAAAGTGAAGGCTCACTTTTAATTGCACTGGTTCAGTCCAGTTTTTTTCTCTTTGCCAAAATATCTTATGTCATACTAAATTAACAACCACAAACACACATGGGAAGCATCACTCAGCATGAGAGCAGAGTGAGAGTGCACTATTAGTATTTGGCAAAATACTATACTAAAATAAATTCAGAATTTTTAATGTACAACTGCTTTGTTTACTGTAATTAAAATATTTACCAGCAGAAAACAGTTTTTGTGGCACACAGATTAGCTGTGACAGTTGCAAAGCTGAGCTAGACTGTAAAACAGGGTATGCAATTCAATATATGGCGAGAGAGTGACTTTTTGATTGACTGAGCTTCTGACTGACCTGAATTTGGTTTCTGATAAGGACATGTGCCATGGAAAAATTACTCACCACCTTGCACAATTCCAGTTGCATTATACAGTTTGAATTATGGCAGTTCCCTGTCAGCTCTTCTGTTAACATATTGTCTTGTGTCTGCAGTCTTCAGGAGAGGATGCTGGGATGGGACATTCATTTTGCAACAGTGATGTAAAACATTACCTTAAATATTTATGACTTATAACAAATCCCTACATAGTAATAGTATAGCTATTCGAACTTATGACAGTCCTAGGTAGAACATATTTTAGGACGTACAAACTGTATGTATAGTAGGTGTTATTAAATATAAAATAACAATATAAAACTGATTTGTGGTCAGCTTTTTGCAGGCCACTTCAGCTCTGGTCATTTATGTATATCAACACCATAACTGAGAGACAAGCACCACTTCAGGTAAATTATAAGAATATAAATTAATTAATTAAAGAAATCAGAGACTGTCATTAATCGTGACAATATATATACATTGTATATATTCAGTTTAGATGTACAGTATTACTGTAACTGGCATAGAGTGCTTGAGGGCTGCAAAGTGAATACGGGGTCAGGAGTGATCATAACCTTGACGGGAATATAAAGAGGTTTGGTGACATTTTGCAGGAGTACATGTTAATGATTGGAAATCTGCAGGAGTGGCTGCGTGCAGAACTGACAAAACTGTGATGCAGTCCGCACCTTAAGGCCACAGTACAATAATTGTCAATCACACAGAGGACTAATAGATTTCTGGTCACACGTATGACACGACGTGTTTCAACCATACAAACCACAGTTCTTACATCTCCCAACAACACTTTTGGATCAAAGGAGGGGTTTTATATACTCTTAGAAAACTGTGGACTACCATAATACAGATTTCATGCTGTTCTGGACAGCTCTGATTCTCCGAGTAACATTTCACGCTGTCAAAATCATGGATTTTTATACTTGAAGTTGCTAAAGTTAAATAATTTTTTAGCCAAGCTGACAGATCTCTCTTACAAAATATGTGGGCATGTCAGTATGACATTATTGAGTCTTTGTAATTTGATAGATGATGCATTGCTACATTGCTGAAGTGGATAATGTGTAACAGTGTGGCTTTAGAAATGTGTGTTCAATTTGCCCTGAAGTCAAAAACTCAAAGTTGTGGTCTGAAAAACCACATAAAGACTGTAAAGGATCACAGTAAGAAAAACATGTTAGTATTATAGAACAAAGAGATAAAATGTCCAAATTATTCTTACAAGAATAATCAAATACTCTTTGGTAATCGACAGAACCTGAAGTTGTTTGTTATTTCCTTGTTATCAGATGAGCCTTGTGTTCTGATGCTCCTTAGTTTCTGCTACAGCTCTGGTAATAACTGCTTCTGGATCCCCTTGTGTCAGATTGCCCCAGTAAAGTGGTTAGGCTGTCGATTTAAATAAAGAATTGGGCTCTCATGTACAACTATGAGACAGCTGCCTTATTAGTGACGGTGTGCGTTGGCTGAGGGCCCACATAAAGTGATACAATCTGATAAAATCATGTCACTATAAGTGCAACTTATAGGCAAGCTGTTAACCATAGGGGCAATTATTTTGCACCACTGTTACCATGGCTTCTGTTTTCTGAATGGTAGTGTTTAATATGAGGCTTGCAGGGAGTAGGCAATGAATTAGTCACGTCTCTGGTGGAGCCAGACTTAATGTGATAAAGGTAGGTAATCATCTTCTGCAGATATATAATTTACTATTAATAGCCATTCTAACTCTAAATTTAACCATGACAAATTATTGTATTTCTGAGTCATTTTACAGACCGCTCACACTCCCCATCTTTCCTGTTCTCCCCCTAACCTATTTCAAAGAGCTGCTGCTACTGGCCCAAATGTGTCACACCTAACAAGGCTTGCTGCAAATTTAGCCTGTCAATATGTGTCAAGCCTCATTCATCAGCTATCACTCTTTATCTCAGCTGTCCTTCTTCTTTCACATTTCACCACCGTGAGGCTTGACTTTGCCCCGAGCTTGCGTAGTTCAATTCTAACCCCAGGTCCTCCGCTTCAGGGAGTAAAAGCAAATGACAATCATAGTCCTTGCTAAACCTAAGTGCAACAAGGCAAAACAGAGAAGGGGGTAGGGGGTAGACTCTGTGTAACCAGCTGATTGTAAATCTCTCAGCAGACTTTGGGTACATGCAGTGTCTAATGATTGACATTATCTGCTCTTTTCTCATGACTGGTCGTGACAGGCATGAGAATCTCACACCTGCATGAGATACTTGTCTGCGGAGTGTCAACACACTGACATACAGTAACACGTGCTGTGTTATTTTTTTTAACAATATTTTAATCATCTGTCATTCTCACTAAAAAGAATGATCCTTCATTATATTGTATATTTTTGTTCCCAGGGTCTGAAAGGTGACCCAGGGCCAGTTGGTCCAGTTGGTCCAAAAGGAAACAAAGTGAGTGAGTCTGCCATACATACTGGCCTCGACAAAATTACACTATAATTGTTTTTCTTTTTTTAATGAAAATAGATACTTCAGGGAATCTGCTTGACTTTCATGAGCTGTAATCCCAGTCTCAATAAAGGGTTTGCCCATCTGTTTGAAGTGCTGCTATGATTGCTACTCCAAACATGGCCAGCTAAAGAATACTGGTATTGCTATCATAACTTAGCAAGACCTTATTGATGGTCATATAGAGTAGCTTTTATCCCGGCTTAGAGAAAATGTTCCAGTCACTATATTTGCGGAGTATTTGTATATTCATAGGGATAGCTGTTTGTAATGGACATACCCAGCAAAATCCCTTTATCTTGCCCTCTCTAAACATTTTCTTATTGGACTAAAGCCTAAAGCAAAAATGTGGATTGCATACTATTGCCTGCTTGTTTTGGGGACTTGACACAGGGACTCTTGATTTAGAATATATTTGACATTTGGTCTCAAATATTAGGAATCCAATAGTTATGTAGGTTTGTCCTGTATGGGTTATGACTGGTTTCATAAGCCTGGGATTGAAGGCAAGCTAGGAGCTGCAGAGGAGTTTGATACAAAACCTTGTCCTTATCTGCAGCCCCTTTATAGTCTATTCACTGACATCACTGACATGAATTAGATTAAGTCTTGTTGCAATGCAGAAAATATTGGTCTTTTTAAAGTTTTTCTTTTCTTTTCATCCCACAGTGGGATTATTTTCCATGTATGAGATGAAATGTTTTTCCTGTAATTAGTTGCCATATCTCCAACTCTTTTATTTTTCCTCCCGTATTGGGGCTTTTTTTTTTTTTTTTTTGTCTTTTGGAAGAACTCACCACATAATTGTAGGTGCAATGCTCTGTCTGCCAGCCTTGAAGTTATAATGAGGTCTGTGTGTTTCTGTGAAGACAACAGAGAATCACAGGGTATTTTATCCTATTTTCCGGATGGGAGGGTGGGGGGTGGGGGAGGAGAGAAGGTTTGTTTGTATTGAAACTGACAGAGGGAGGCAGATTTGGAAGCATAAAGTAATGAGTCCCCTGAATATCCCATAGCAGGCATATTTTAGCTGTGACATTCATTTAGACAACAAAATGGATATGAACTACAAGGCCCTTTTTTTTTCTTTCATCCACATCCGATAAAAGGGTATTGTCCACTGATTCTCAACTTAGTGCTTTATGAAGTACGGTTTGTGGTGAAAAGGGGAGAGAACTGCAAAAACATTGGACAGTGATCCATGAGTTTTATCTGAAAAGGCAAAAAAACAAGAGAGGCTGTCAGAAGCATGTGAGATCATTGCTTACAATGGGTTATGCTGGCGTCAAAAGACATCTACTTCTTTCCTTATATGACTTTTCATGACTGTCTGTATGTCACAGTCACCAAACAATGTTATCATACCTGTCCATTGTTAATGCTGCAAAGCTTTTACATGATATAATACGGCTGTGTTTATTTTAAGGCCTGTCACATTTAATAGCTCTAGCCCACCTGCCAGTTGCCTGACTGCTTCATTTCAAGACATACTGTAAATACCAGTAAATGGCTTTCTATAGCACAAGTGCATATGTTGAACTAGTACTGCGATGCGTAGTACATCCTATTTTACCTGACCAGTTTTTATTACAACCATGATGGCTGGCCTTTAGAGACTAGATATCTAAAAATCCAAAATACGTTCATATGTATTGATTTACCCTCAGCCAAGATGTTATTGACAGAAGTTTTAGGAGTTTTCACTAATTATTATCTTCCTTTGTAGGGGGATGTGGGTTTGCCTGGAGTTCCAGGGCTGCCTGTAAGTTCACACTGTTTCATTTACATCTCATTATGCTATCTGTATATATGAGGACATTGAAAAGAGCAAAAATGTTGAAATGTACTCATGCGGGTGTGACCTGAAATGGCTGGACTGAGCTTTGTAAATATCACAGCCTTTTGGCTGACCAGGCGCTACACACAGTTTTAAAGCATCTGGCTTACAGCGATGGAAAAGTGAGGCACTCAGGTGAGCAGTCTCTGTGTCACATTACCATCGCCTGGGAATGGGTCAAACAAGGAGCAGATAGACAGGGCTCAGTGGGCATCCTCACTTGGCCCAAAAAGGATAGGGATGGGCAACCAGGCAGAGAAGAATGGGGCTCCAAGCCCCAGGGTGGGGGTGGAGGCTGACAGGTAGTCGTTGGCTGTATCCTACATGGGTGAGACATGCACTTACTGGGTTGGTGGCTGTCCCTGCAGACTTTTTGCATTGACAGACACCTAGGAAGAACTACACCACGCTTTATGTATTTCGATCTTATAATTGGACTGGCTGCACTGGTGTTGTTTCTGTGGTCCTGTAAAATCCAGAGGACAGAGAACATAATCCAGAAATGTACTCATTCCAGTGCACACACAAATTGAAGGTACATATGTCAGCAGACAGCAGATGGATGTACTTGCAGATGCTTGCATAGTCACCTATCAACACATATAGTGAATGTGTAGGCACAGATGCAAACCACACATACTCTTAATGCATTGTAGCCAGGGAGTTGACAGATCCTGGAGATTAAAGGTGCTTCTGCGGGTGGTTAGCTAATCATGTACACATCATGAGGGGATCAGCCTGCCAGTTTTAATCAGCACTGGAGAGATACAAAAACTGGGGGCCACTGCTTCTGGCTTTCCCCTTTTATGTCACTAAAGTTCCTATGATACCCACAGAACACTGCTGGCAGCCATTAGCTGTTCTGTAATGCAAATTTTACATTTATAAGAACAAGCAAAATACCAGTTCCCTGACTAGCAAACATGGTTTTAACAAACTTTCTCACATCATGTCAGTAAATTGGTTGGTGTGAGAGTGTGAGCAGAACAATGTTCAGAGGAAGCTATTAAAATAGTATGGACTTGCTACGGGTGGATTTGCATTGTATTGCTTGCTGCCCAAGGTCAAAACTCAGTGCTCACAAGCCAACTAAAGATGTACCGTTGTACATGAATAATTGATTTATTAGCAAAAGCACTGCAGGGAGACTGAGGCATGTTTTATTTAGGGTGTCACAGGTCAGAGTTGTCACTCTATAGATACAGCTGCAAATATAGGGTTGTCAGCCTCCTTGTTAAATAGTTTTATTTTTTTTTGTTGTTTGTTCTTTGCTCGAGGCTTCTGACTGACGTGGAAGACATATGTTCTGAATGTCCATATCTGCAGCTGTTTCCAAGAAAAGTCAACTGCATTTCACTTTTGGATGCCAATTGAAAGAAGACACCAATTATTTCCCTTCTATTTGAAAGCTGAGATGCTTCATGCGGCCTTGTGTCCATTTTTTGGCCTGGTGGACAGACGACTCTGTCTGCCGTTTCTTGACAGTGGCCAGCAGGGTGTCACGGGAGTTGTAATAGTCATGCCCTAACTTGTCTTCGGGCCATGGCGGCCAAGGATAATTACGTCATGACCAATTGTGTTGCTTGCCTGTAAGTGGCAGGCATGTATTGCTATATCAAATAGGAACCCTGTGAGTCATGTTTTTATCTTGACTGACTTGTTTTTAATTGTGTGTTTGATTCCTAGGCTGACAAAGAATGTCTCAAAGGAGATCAGGTACTTAAATTACATTAATATTATTTTCACTGAAAATATCTACACATTCTGTATTCTTGAGCTTATAAATATTTATTTGCCACATACAGGGCCCTCGAGGTGACAAAGGAGAGAAGGTAACAAATGAATCATCATATCTATGTATAGTATCTCATTTTCATCTGTTTTTCCTGTTGGACAAAGTGCACATAACATGTTCTCAAGCAATCAAGCACAACTATTAGGTTCAACAAGCAATTGTTTGAAGCACCATAAGCATGTCCTTGCACAAGAACTTCAAAACAAAATCACAACTCAGCATATACCTTGATTAACTTAAGATACTGTGTAGAATAATGGAATGAGGCTCTCATCAACCGAGGCTGCAAATTGCCTATTAAGGGGATCGTGGAGAAGTCACCTAGAAACTGTTCATGAGTAAGAATGGAAACTACGGCTGTATATTCTCCCCTCTATCTATTCATGCAATTTTAACTAAGCTAATGCTGTGTTTCCTATCACTGCACATAAGCCCACTAGTTATCCATTGGTCTGCTGAGAACATGTGGCACAAACATCTGTCTGCATCAGTTTTTTAACAAGAAGCAAGCCATAATCTCCTCCCACAATGCCAAATGCACATGAATGTATCACCCAATTCACTTTGATACATGTCCTTTCCGCAGGGATTGACTGGGGTGCCAGGGGATCCAGGCAAAGAGGGCAAAAGGGTGAGTAAACAGAAACAGCCCACCAGTTGTGTGGCCTGGCTAGTGGTTGTACTGACTGCGAGGACCTGGCCTGTGGAAAGGCCAAACAGCAGCTGAGTAACTGTTGTTGTTTTGGGGGAGGCGAAGATGATCTGTGGCAAAGGGATTGCGATGGGCTTGCAAAGAGAGAAGGGGAGGTGTGGGCTTGTTGTATGACAATTAATGAATGGGCTCCGCGGTCAAGGGGTCACACACACTCACAGTATGACTGGCAGCACACATGGTTAAGTCCCGCTGGGTGACTGTGCTGGACAGTATTCAGTTTCCTAAGAGGCCAGCATGATCTGGGACAGAGACAATGCCCATGAGTGAATCAACTGAAACATTACACCACATTTATTTATTCTGACCATAATAACTTTAGGAATAAAAGTGTCAGGGTTTGTAAGACAATGTCTTAATCAAAAGTATTTTCATTTCAATGCTTTTTAAATGAAAATTTCAATTCCAGTTGACTAGATTTAAGTACTTTTAATCCATGTAAGTGTTCTGGCATTAGTAACGGGTAAACATGCTAACATTATGGTGGGCTAAAGATTGCCCAACAGCAAGAATGTTATTGCTCCTTGACATCACAGCTGAAAGGCAGTGTTCAAGGACAGGTGGAGAGAGTGTCCTTTTGTGTCCCGCTTAATTGACTTGTTGGGAATACCTTTGCCGGTGATACCGCCATCAAATAGACTCTTCAGGCAACTCAGTATTCCTGTCTTACAGAGAATGGCCACAAAACAGCAAGAACACATTTGGCTTTTCTGCAGCAAAATATAAAATATATAGCAGGTTGAGCTATACAGCACCAATAAGTAGGTCAGGCAAATGTTTGTTTCAGATTAAGCAAGAGCCGAGATGATGCACAATACTCAAGACATCTGGACACAAGTATCTCAAGAATTCCACCCTTCTGTGTGTGTG